TTTTTTTGTCTCTCTCTCACACACCTCTCTCACACACACACACACACACACACACACACACACACACACACACACACACCCACACACCATACACACAAAAAACCTATTGACGAGAAATTTAAGTTAGAAATGCAAACTTCCCCGCTATGGTCATGTTTCTTAATGCTTAATGGACAAAATTGATTTCTTTCTCTATTGATTCTCTAATCCTTAAAAACTTTAAAAGTTCATTGGCTTATCAATTATATGAGAATTACAGAATCATGCTACAAAATTTATTGTTTCAGATCCTAAACCATGGGTTTTCAGATTAGAGTTTATTTGTGTATATTTTTACAGACAAATTTGTTTCTATTTCCTACACAACTATTAAGGCCTCTATACTGGAATTCAGCAAATACTATTAACAAAAATTCAAACCAACTGCTGAGTTCCACCATAAGGCAGTGAGCCTGAAATTTCATAATGGCCTGGCAGGAACAGAGGATAGACATTCACTACATGCCCACTCTGGGCCCGTCACTGCACTAGATGTTTTACATCTTCTCGATAATTTGCTTTGCCCTGGTTACAGTATACATTGCTTACATTATTGCTCCTTTACCTTAGTTCACAGTCTGTATTGCATCTTTCAGTCACAAACAATGGAAGTGGTAGGTGGTCACATCTGTGATCAGGCACCACCATAAGATCACTCTTACGTATGCAGGCAATTTTTCTTCTATGAAGACCTTGGCCGATGTCAAATGAAAATTAAAGAGAAAACTCATATTAAGAAGATGTTCTGCAATTTAATTCTGCTAACAGCCTAAAGGATTCAGCTAAGAAAGCAAAAACAATTCCACGCAGTATATAGGACAGACTAGCATATTAATCTAGTCAGGAATTACTTTCTATAATAAACTTAATCCTGAAAGACTCAGGGGTGTGCTGAGTGAAGAGATAAGAAAAGTGGGCAGGTATGAGTGGAGCAGATGGAAATGTATTATAGCTGGAAGGAGTGGTTGTGAGAGGAAAACTGAGTGGCCAGGCTGGCGCTGATGCTATACGGTACACTATGTTATTTTTCTCCATTATTTGTTCCCCTTTTCCCTGTAATAGAATCGCACATCTCCACTTGCCACAATGTTACTGTAACTTCCTGTGGGAGGAGCATGCTTCCCTGCCCATGGACATCAGGCTTATGCCAACCCACTGTCAGGGGATGTGACCTATTCCAGTCCCAGGCAGAAGCTCTAAAGCCCTACATGTGTCTGCCTGCTCTTTCCTTCCCCTCCATCTCCAAGACAGCCTTCCCCAAAAGGGCTGAGCTTTCAGCCTGGAGTCATGAATGGAAAAGGCGTGGACAGACAGCAAAAGATCAGTGGCTGTCAGAAGTTGGAGAGGGGATGGAGGGAGGGATTTCTTCGAGAGTGAAGGTATTCTTCATGATACTATAATAGTGAATACATGTCTCCATACATTTGTCAAAACTCATAGAATGTACAACAAAGACTGAACCCTAATGGGAACTATGGACTTTAGTTAATAATAATGCATTAATTGTACCAATTGTGACATGCTAATACAAGATGTTAATAACAGGAATGGAGGTGGGGAGTGGAAGAAGACAGGAAATTTCTGCTCTATTTTTCTATAAACCTAAAATAACTCTAAAAATAAAGTCTATTAACTTGTTGTTAATCCTCACCTGAGAATATTTTTCCATTGATTTTTAAGAGAGTGGAAGAGAGGAGTGTGAGAGAGGAGTGGAAGGGAAGAGAAAAGAGAGAGAGAGAGAGAGAGAGAGAGAGAGAGAGAGAGAGAGAGAGAGAGAGAGAGAGAGAGATGAGAGAGATGTGAGAGAGATCCATCAATTAGTTACCTCCCACATGTGCCCTGGCCAGGGCCTGGGATCGAGCCTGCACTGGAGGTACATGCCCTTGACCAGAATTGAACCCGGGACTCTTCAGTCCACAAGCCGTCACTCTATCTCTACTGAGCCAAACCATCTAGGGGCCTACTGATTTTTTTAAAATGACATGGACACCGATACCAAACAAAGAATAGTCAGCCAATTAAAAGCCAAAGCAGTATGAGCAAGAAATAAACCTCTGTTGTTCTAAGCCACTGAGATTTGGCAGGTGCTTGCATGTAGCATAATCACTGCAAAAGTAAACTAAGAGAAGTGGTTGTAATGGGCCAGAGTGCATTCACCTTCACACTTTCCGCACGGAGGAGACAGGAAAGAGTCTAAGCAGTCAGTGACATGATCAGATTTCTGTTTTATCAAAGTTCAAAGGCATACTTCCAGTTAGCTAAATGTGAACACACGTTTATCTCCGCTCCTTCCTAAACACTAACTGAAATAACTCTTAAAGGCATATTGAAAAGGCACAAACCTAAAAGAACACAAAGACTAAAAAAGGAAACACAGTAGGCAGGAAAAGGAAATTCTGAATATGAAAAGTAGATGGAAATAACTGTTTAACAGTCAAGAAAGCTGAAACTTAATTCTGAGTGGAGGGGGTAGGTGAATAAGAAACAAACCACTCATGCCATCGAATCCAAGAAAAGCCCAGGAATAAAGAAGACCAGGTTCCTCTGAGGCAGTGTGTGAGGGTAGGCCTGAAAACAACGCAGAATTGATTGAAAAGTTTTTACAAAGAATGGTTCCACTCCTACCCTTCCTGTTGAAAGCAGCACTGTCCCACAAACACAGAATGTGAGCTACATATGCATTTTTACATTTTATATTATTCACATTAAAAAAGTAAAAAGATAAAGGTGAAATTAATATTTATATTTAACCCTTACATATCTGAGAGATAATTTCAACATCTATCTATATATATAAAAGGCTATGCGACTGGCCGGTAGGTATGACATGCATTGACCACCAGGGGGCAGATGCTCAACACAGGAGCTGCTGAGCAACAGCAACTTTGCAGAATGCACTCTCGCACTCCGGGACCCCTCGGGGGATGTTGGACAGCCAGTTTCGGCCCAATCCCCGCAGGCCAGGCCGAAGGACCCCACCTGCCGGAGGGACACTGCTCACTCCACAGACACCCTTCGAGCCCCAGTGCCGCCCCAGGTGCGGCCGGCTAGGGAGGGACCACGGGAGGTTGGCTCCAGGGCGTGACTGGCCTGTCTCACCCAGTCCCTCCCCACCAGCCACCTTCTAATTAATTCCCTCAATGTGCATGAATCCGTGCACCAGGCCTCTAGTATCATTATAAAAATTATTGATGATATATTGTATGTTCCTTTTTTATGCTAAGTTTTCCAAATCCATTGTGTATTTCATAGAGAGCACATTTCAACAGACTAGCCACGTGGCTATCATAGCTCCAGAGAAGGTGAACCTGAGGGCACAGACCCAGCTGAAGGAAGCTGGGAAGCACTGCACTGAAAATAGGGGGTTAGGTAAAAGTCCTCCTTCTGAATGATGAGATCCAGAATGGACTGTCTTCATTTCTTTCTAGCTCCAAGCCAACTTTTATGGTTCCCTGGTCCTCTCATTGACCTTCAGAAGATGGGAGGCCTCGCTGGTTTGGCTCAGTGTATAGAGTGTCAGCCTGTGGGTTGAAGGGTCCCAGGTCCAATTCTGGTCAAGGGCACATGCCCAGGTTGTGGACTCGGACCCCAATAGGGGGCATGCAGGAGGCAGCCAATCAATGATTCTCTGTCATCATTGATGTTTCTATCTCTCTCTCCCTCTCAGAAATCAATAAAAATATTCTTTTCTTTTTTTTAAAAAAAAAAGAAGAATATGGGAGAATTTCTCTCTTGGGAGACTCTTCACCCCAAGAGAAAAGATCCACTAATGACACTTGGGGGCATATCCCCAATGACATATGAAAAGGCTATTTGGTGACCCAATTACTCAATAATGAGGCCCCTACTTGACTTGTCTGACCCACACAGGACTTTCAGGATTTTAGTGTTCATAATGAAAAAGCAAGAAAGGATCAGCAGACCTTTTAGGAAAACCAATAATACAGTAGAGACCAAAATAAAAATGGAACTAAAATGAAACAGGTATATCAGGGAGCAAAATAAAACTTGCAGACTAGGATTCATCTTCTCAGAGACATAAATATTGTACCCATAAAACAAATCAAGATTTATGAGAAGAAATATTAAGGAAACAATGTAACTATGGAAAAGAAAATGGAAGTGCTCAATCCAGGATGCTGAACATCCAAATAATACAAAGTTTGGAAAAATGGGAGAGAAATTTAATGTGAGAAAAAACTATTAAAGAAATAATGTGATAAATTTTCTCAAACCAAAGGATATGTTTCTGAATTGGAATGGCATCCTATAAACCTAGGAAAATAGATGAAAGAAACACCCACATCAAGGCCCATTGTCCTGACATTTCACACTAGGAGTACTAAAGAGGGAATCCACAAAACTTCCACAATAGAAAGTATCACAGGAAATCAGAAAACAACCCAGAAAAGGAGACTTTCAAAACTGTAAAGGAAAATAACCTAACTTAGAATGTTATACCAGCCAAACTATCAGCCAGGCGTGAGAAGAGAAGAATGCCATTTTCAAATAGGAAAGGTCTCAAAAAACTATCTTCCTTTTTCAGGAAAATACTGGGGGATATGATCCACCCAGTGGGTGAAATCAATCAAAAAGAGGAATTCATGGGATTTAGAAAACAGGAAACCCAACACAAAAGAAAGTCGAACAGATTTCCTTGAATAATAATGAAAGTAAAGCACAAGATGACAGCCATGTAATAGCCTTAAAAAGCAAAACTAATTAGAACAAGAGAAAAGAGGACCAGGGTAGCGATAGATGAAGAATAATTTAAACTGATAGATGAAACTGACAGGCAAAATGTATAGTTCTCACCAAAAGTTTGGGGACTGATAACTTTCAGTACACAGAAGAACAAGGAGACAAATACAACGGAGGAAACTTAACTGTAGAGAAACCAAAGGTTACACACAAGAAGAGAGAGAATATTAATCATAGTATCACAATGTGGCAATAGTAGCTCCTTTTCCCTTGCACACAGTTGTGTAAGAGACCTCTCCTGGTTCAGATCCCCCAAACCATCCGACCGTGTCTTGTTCAACCTCCATTTCGGATTCTTTGCTTAGTGTGTTCACATTTAGATCACTCCTTCTTTCCCCTGTTCCATGAATGTATTCCTAGCTTCCCACATTCACTGCCACGGACCAGCTCACCCACTCAGTCCTCAAAACCTCCATTCTCTCCTGTGAAGCACATGCAGGGTCTTCCTGGGGAAATGAATTCCTTCTCCTCTGTTCATCGAAGCTTTCTCTTCCCACTGCCAGCATCTATTCGAGCCGGCCTAGCATCATCTTCCTCAGTCTCCACCCTCCCCTGAGACACAGCCCAAACAGGAGCACCTGGTTCCCACACAGCCATTCTGGGCACCCTTGGGCCAGCTCCACAGGGGCCTCAACACCTTTGGCACCTTGACGTCAGTTTGTTCGACTGTCCCTCCCATTCCCATCATCTGTGCTCACTGCTTCTGGCCACCCACTTTCTCTCAGCTCATGTCCACACTGTCCTTAATAGCATCCTCTCCTCTGATCCACTGATCCCCTAAGTCCTAAACGTCTCTCTAGTCTCCTGGGAACTCCTTTTCCATTCTACACAACCTTTCCTGTACCTTCAGATGTAATCTCCTCATGGAGTGCTCCCTCCACCTTTTCTGTGGTCCTCTCTGTCTCTACCATTTATTTGCCATTATAAAGTAAGGTCATCTACTCAGACTCTATTTCATCCACTAGACTTTACAACTTGAACACAGAATTGGGGTCTTATTAATAACCTGAAACAAAGTAGTCTCTCAATAAATGTTTACTGATTTGAACAAACAGTATTGCACAAATTACCTGTCCTTAATTACAGAGCATTAAAGACGCCGGTCTTTTCATTTTCCGTCCCTACTGCAAACTTTCCATTTTCCACTATGCTCCTTTCAGTGATGCGTGCTATCAGTACAAACATACATTTCTTGTGGCCACAGAAGGAAAAGAAAAGCATGAAAGAATGTTTGGCACTCTAACACTAAAAGAAAGAGAAGGGGCTGGGGAACTGTGTGGAGGGGGGGCTATTTCACTGGAAAAGAAGTTAGAGGAACTTTCTGTGACTGTGAGACAGAAACTGTGAAGAGAAAGGAAAGGAATGGAAATGCTGAATGTTCAAATGGGTAGAGCTAAGTGAGGCTAAGTATAAAAAAGAATGAGTGAAGAGAAAAATAGGAAGGGGAAAGACAGGGAAGCTTCGTATGTCTGTGTGGTATACATGTGTGTGGACAGTGGGGAGAATTCTGCCAGACCAATACAAGTCAGACTCAAAAGTAACCCAAATTATACCCGCCTGCACAAACTTTTGTCTCTTTTAATGCCAGTGTACCTTGGCACATCCTGGTACAGTCTTGCCAGGGTCCATAAGGGTCCCACGTGAACTGGTCTCTCTTCTCTTCCACAGGGATATTGAAGGAATAACGTACATCAGGGTTGTACAAATTACCCACACACAAAACCTCAATACAAACGCACAGGAGCATACAATTAATTCATAAAAGACATATTCCTACAAGGTATCATTTTATTTTTAATAATAACCGCAAAGCGCTTCATCATCACAGTTTACTAATATGATTAAAGCTAAGCCTTTTTAATGACTACTGAGAATTTACCTGCAAAACAAGTTCTTCTTCTAGCCGATCAGTACTGTTGATTCGTTCGGTTGAGCTGTTTGAACCACTGTATTCAAAAATGGCTCCTTGTACATGGATTTCTTTCTTTGCCATACTTACAACAAAATTTCCATTCAAAAGAAAGTTCCCTTGAGTGTCAGATAATGCTGTAAAAGAACGGTACTCATGAAACAGCAAAACCAGTCACCAGCACAGAAAATTTTTTAACTTTTAAAATTCAAATCCTTTTGAAATGAAGGAAGTAAATACTTGAGTCAATAAACTTTGTTACGACAACGTGGTATCCTTTATTTTACTACAATGTAGGGACCCTTCAGCCCTACACTTTTCTATCTGCGGTGGAACCTTCTTCTGCAATCGTGCAGCTTCCAGAGGGACATACAAAAGTGGGAATACAGAAAGAAGCCATGGGCCCAGCAGCAAGATCAGCTAAAACAATGCTGGCCATCAGTGGCAAGGAAAGGAAGAGCTGCTGGACTGCGGCAACATTCCATTTACACTTATCTTGGAAAAAATGTACACAGCTTTAAAACTGTAAGGTCAGAAAAATAAAAAATATTTTTTTTAACTTCAGGAACAATGTTCGAAAGGCATGTGATGACTACACGATTCTCTATATAAATGTCTGGATCTTTTTCATGGAGATGCATGCTGTTATTGTGCGTAAATTGCTTTATGCATTTTTAATTTTCAAGAGGGTATATAATATGTTAAATTTTACACTAACAAAAATGCCATATTAACCAAATTCTTCTTGCAGCTTTACTTATATTACAGTTCCCAGCTGAACAATAGCCTGTTTGGAAAATGTTTGGTCTTTCAAGGAACCTCATCTAGGGCATACAAGTTACCTATATGGCTAATTTCATAATAAATTCTACACCCCTTGAAAAAGCTACCTAGGTATTTATAATTTTGATATTTCTCTGTCTGTATGGACTATTATGAGTGTCTTTATATACGCCACTAAATTCAATGAAGAACCAATAAAGTTCTACATTTATCCTACAAAATGGAAATTGCTTCACATAAGTCTGCATTTTGGCTAAAGTGGGAAGGCCTATTTAAGGGAGTATCAGTTACGTTAAAACTAAGGGAAATGAGTAGAACATGACTGAGAAATACTGTATACATTTTACTACTTTTAGTTACCAAAGCACATTTTATAAATACATGTTTTAGAAATCCCTTCATGTTTATTTTGTTCATTTCAATTTAGATTTTGATATTGTCACTAGCAGTTCTCTTGCAAAGCATTTCGCTATTTTACTGGTGAACATTTCTAATTTTTAAACTTGGGCATTCTGGGGAAGATACAATATCTGTATTTGGAACCTAAGAGAGAGATATTAACTAAATATAAAAGGCTAATCAAATTATTTACACTTGATTTTCTTTGAGAATATTTTTGCAGTTTTACAAAAATTTACATAACATAAAATTAACCATTTTAAAGTGAACAATGTTGCACAACCATCATCTCTAGCAGTTCTAAAACTTTTTCATCACTCCCCCTCCCCCAAATATCCTGCATCCACTAAGCCAGTGGTTCTCAACCTTCTGGCCCTTTAAATAGTTCCTCATGTTGTGACCCAACCATAAAATTATTTCCGTTGCTACTTCATAACTGTAATGTTGCTACTATTATGAATCGTAATGTAAATATCTGATATGCAGGGTGGTCTTAGGCGACCCCTGTGAAAGGATCGTTCGACCACCAAAGGGGTCGTGACCCACAGGTTGAGAACCGCTGCTAAGCGATTGTTCCCTTTACATTTGACTTTATAATGCCAAATGCAATTCCTGGAATAAGCTGTTCATTATAGAAGCAGAACCTCAGTTATAAGCATTGATTATTTGAGCCAGTGTTTCACATTTCATTTATGTGAAGCAAGTACTTTCTGAATTTCAGCTCTACACCACCTACTCTAGCTTGGTGAGTCATACATAAGTCAATATTAAAGTATTTTTCAGGCAGAAGAAAAAGGATTGTAAAGCATTCTATTCATCTTTGGGCCTAAATGAAATTCCCTAAACCTAAAAGCTACTTTCTAAAAATAAGAAATGAAATCTATACTCTACAAATAGCTAAAGGACAATGTAATGTAACTAAATATTCATTAACATCTAAATATATGAATCCATAGTTCTTTTCTTTAACATAAGAACTTTTTAAAAACTGTATATAAATCCTTTTACTACATGGCAAAAGAGAATTTAAGAAAATTCTTTAAAACATCAAACCTCAAACAGGTCTCTAATTTTATATTAAAAGATAGAAGAGGATTTTATTTTAAATAAACATGCAACTTTAAACGTAACCTTTATGGTTATTTAAAGCACTCCCATGGGGAAAATTTCAAATTTACTTTTCAGAATTTAGTTACATATTTTTCAAATAGGAATCAGTGTATAGTTCAGAAGAAAACATGTATCTGGAGTCAGATGACTCAGCTCAGTATGTACTGAAATTGCATGTTTTTTCAGGGCTCTCTGCTTGCCTTCCAAGAATTTACATCAACCGCAGACCTCCATGAAATCGCACACGAATCACATATTGGTGCTGTTTACTAGAAATGTTTACCAAGGTAATTGTCATCTGCTGGTGTTCCAGAATAGCTGTGCTGAAGAATATCAATGTTGGTTGCTCCTGCGGGAATCTTTACGACAACATTATAACCTACAATATAATTTTATACATGTTAACTTTCACACACGAAAAAACAGATGGTCCAGAGGCTATTACTGCTGAATGATTGAAAAATTTCAATAGTATAGTCAGACTTAATTTCATTTTATCTTTGATAAATGATACCAGTGCTTACTCTTTTTAAATCAACGCCTTATATAAATTGCTAAGAATTGAGAAAAAGTAGTTGTTGTCTAGAAACATAAGAGAGTTTGGGATTCTTAAAAAGTACAAATCCTAATTTTTCTTACTTCTAAAATTCTGAGTATAGAATAAGAATGAAGCTAGTATGCTACATTTTACATTTCCTAACGTGTTTTTTAATGCAATATTCCAAATGCTATCCACAAATCCAAAAGATATCAAAATAGTTGGGCATTACTATATGTGTACAAGAGACTTAGTAAAGAGCAAAATAATGTGAGTTAATGAGAAGCATATTTTTTAAGCTTTTAGTCTCTAGTATAAGCAGAAATCCCTATAGGTACCCCCAACATTTTACATTATTGTCAAGAGAAAAGTAAAAAATTTACTTGAGAGAAATGAAAATAATATTTCTATTTTATGAGACCTAATTCACCAACACTGGCACTACTCAAAAGATGAGGAAACACTATATTAAATATATATTAAGAAAGAATGGAAAGTTTTCCCTATGCTAAAACTACTCATGTTATACAGTTCATAATTGTCTAAACATTCTCATTTGCTCTAGTGATATTAAGTTTTTCCTTTTCCTTATAGAATTTTCTAAGTTTTTCCTTTTCCTTATAGAATTTTCCTTTCTATTTAATACATGAATAAATGGAGTTGAAATTTTTCTTGTATGCTAACTTTGATAAATATGGAATGAATTTAAAAAGGGGAAGTTTAAAAGAGCTTTAGTCCGACATGAAATTACCTTGCATGTTTTTAGAGCAGCCTTATTTATATCTCTCTAAGGCATCACATTGAAATATAAGGTTTGATGATTCTGTATACACTATATAGATATGGTTGCAGGCTATCAGTCTAGAAGAATAATTTTAATCCATGATTTTTTTACTATAAAATATTCCTACGACCTTCACTATTTGTCTTTGCTATTATACATTTTTCAAGAAGGCAATTCCTAAGCATGGCAAAAGTGACAAGATGAAGGCTACCGCCAGGGGGCAGTGATGTGACAATGCTGTTCAGAGCACACAAATATATTTAACATCTTTTTCCATTTGCAAACTGATTAATTCATAGTAAAATTTGGTGCATGTGGTTTTATACAGAAAAATGTTTTCCAGTGAATACAGATCAGACTGATAAATATGGGCCATTTATTATAAAAAGGGGTCAAAAATGTATGGCTCCAATGAAATAATGAATCATAACTACAAAAATAAGTCAGATCATCTGGTAACTAGGATTTGTAAGTATCATCATAGTATGAAATGTACTATACTTTTAATATAAATAAAAAAGTAAATTTTGTTTTAAAACATATTTCTTTAAATGAAGCAATTCATACTAACTTAACTGTGCTTGAACATATGTGAATATAATTTAAAGCTGAACAATAAAACTGTAAAAGTAAATTTTTATTTTGCAAGGAAAGTTTTAAAGGGCTTCTTTCATTACCATAAAAAAGAAAAAAAAACATTTCCCAGAAATTTTTAGAATAGAAAAAAATCTGCTATATTCTCTTAACAATTTTGAAGAAAATGCAATCATGACCAAATATGTTACATCTTATAATACAAATACTTCCTGGAAAATCAAATGTAATTATAATTCAAAATCCACATTTAAGTTAATGTTTTCATCCTTCCACCTTCAATCAACATTTTCAATATGTCATCAATAAGAAGCACAATGGATGGGCCAGGTCATACAAAAAAAATTTTGGTTCAAATAATGAAAAACAATTAAAAGCAAGTTTCCTGGAAACATCATAAATACAGTATACATTAGGGATTATAGGAACTGCAGTAAGAACACATCGCTAACTGGGGGGACTATTCACACATCATTGTCAAATAGCAGTGGATTTACTCTAATAAATGCACCTAATAATTTTTTTTAATGTATTTGCCTTTAACAAGTGAATTCACTAATTCAAGGATAGATCTGGTATAAGATTTAATCTTTTATATTTAGGAAATTTTTCTTTATCTTTTTTTTTAAGTTTCATGGCTTGTACTTTATATTTTTAAATTCATCTTTATTATTGAAAGTATTACAGATGTCCCCTTTTTTTCCTCCATTGACCCTCTCCACCCTGCGCTCACCCCCTAACAATCAATTTTAATTAAGGATAGAGAGTAGACAAAACAATAACAAACCATTACTAGTATACCTTCATCACATATACCATTATTATACCAAATACAAGGGAAAACTAGAAGCAGATACACAGCTTACCATAATGAGCACTGTTGAAGACTCCTGACATTGTCCTGCATGATGAATTATCCCCACCACACACACCACATTTGTCTCTCCTGGCCTTGGAGTTTAACACATGGTCACAACCAGCTTGCTTCAAAATACAATAAATCAAATCAATGTTATAAAAATGACTCATGATAAACATGGTGCTTTACAAAAGTTCTTTCAGCCCTAACCGGTTTGGCTCAGTGGATAGAGCGTCAGCCTGTGGACTCAAGGGTCCCAGGTTCGATTCCGTCAAGGGCATGTACCTTGGTTGCGGGCACATCCCCAGTAGGGGGCGTGCAGGAGGCAGCTGATTGATGTTTCTCTCTCATCGATGTTTCTAACTCTCTATTCCTCTCCTTTCCTCTCTGTAAAAAATCAATAAAATATATTTTTTTAAAAAAGTTCTTTCAATTAATAGGAGATTTGATACAGCAGGATTTTTTTCATAATATCTACTGAATCCACATTGTAACAAACAATGACTGATTCCTATGTCCCTCGTTTGAAAACCACTCTTTAAATAAATGTCATTCAAGAGACACAAAAAATATGACTATGTAAGTAATACATTAAAATAACCCCAAGTCTGGTCAATTGGCTCAATTGGTTAGAGCATTGTGCTGTGCACTTTTAAAAGGTTGTAGGTTCAATTCCCAGTCAGGGCACATACCCAGATTGTGGGTTCAGTACCAGTTGAGGTGCGCACAGGAGGCAACCTATCAATGTTTCTCTCTCACATCAATTTTTCTTTCTTTCTCTCCCCCTTTTTCACTCTCTCTCTAAAATCAATAAAAACATATCCTTGGGTAAGAATTTTTAAATGTAACTCCAAAGAGATGTCTTTCATGATTCATTTTTTTAAAACTCATGACATTAGAATTCATAATAAACTGAGTACAATTGAAAGAAAGTTTATTTATCCAAAACTAATACCCAGCATAATAAACAGGGTTTATGAAAAGAATGAATACATAAGTAAAAAGTAAAAGTAAATGGTTTGTTCCAGGGGTTTAAGAGAACAAATGCAGAAGGTGTCTTCTACATATGCAGCAATAACTTTTAGTTCTCTGGACAAGTCCTCTAAATTTGGTGATTGGAAAAGTAAGATAATTTCATAAACCTCATGAATTTTTATATACAAGGCAAATATTTCAATTTTAAAAATTTCAAGCAGATAGTTTCTGAAAGTAGTATGGATCTATACATGTTCACGTAATCTTATTTTTTTCATTTTATATGACTTTCTGCTGATAAATTAGATTCAAAAATTTTTCAGGCCAATGAGTACCCGTTTTCTAGTATTTAAGGTTTTTCCAATGTGTAAGTTACTTTAAGTTCCTTTGAACATCTCATTAGCACCTTGTGTGCAACCCCTCTGTCACCTGGGTGACTGGTAATAGATGTTTGGTTATAGGGAGAACTCGGTTCTATTAAGTTACACTTAACCAAAAGAATGAGTTCATAAAATTTCAATTGTATTCTCTAGACAGCATTCACTATCCTGGTTTTCAAGTTCATCACCATTTTTAAGATCGCCACGTGCAGTATGTGTGCTTGAATTCAGGGTCTTATCTGCTCTCACCTAAAATCCTGCTAAATGGCCCACCCATCTCCAATCTTCTCCTAACCCAGTACATTCTAAAGATTCTGACATGCAAATCAAATCACATCTCTTCCTCAATTCCAAGGACTTTAGGGTAAAAGTGCATAGAACAACCATTGGTTAGCCCCTATCTCACCTTATATCCTCACCTTTCTAAAACCTTCATAATTAGTTCAAGCCTCACATCCTCCATGAGCATTCTTCAAAACCTTTACCCACCTCCCCCTAATTAAGACATTCCTTCCCCAATATCCCCAAGCCTCCTTGCAGATGACTCCATCGCAGTGCATTACAACTGTTTGCTGCCTATCTCCCTCACAAATCTGTGACCACCTTGGAGGTTAGTACTCTGTTCCATCCTTTTATCTGACATCTAGTAGGTTCTCAGGAAATGTTTGAAGCATTTACCCAGGAATTAAGAGAAGAATGGACAGAGGGAGGGAGGATACCACCTCTTCTAACACCGAGGGGATAAAAAAAAGTCACCACAGGTCACACTTGAAGGATAAAAGGACTTTATAACCCTTGTGTCTTAATATTTTTTTTATGTTTTTAGAAAGTTGACCTCATCCCTTATATTGATTTTGAGTACCACACACAAAACAAAATTGGCAGACTTACCTTAATGCTTTATGAGTTACTCTTCATGGCAGAAAATCACCTAGTAAACAAAGTCTCCTAATGATACTCCCACAGATAATGTGGTTATCACCAAAGGTTGCCGTATTGGATTCACAAAAATGTGTTCTGAAGTAACAGAAGTCATAGTCTCCTGAAAGCCACGTTAAATAGAATAAGTTTACTCACCCGACACAGGCCTTGAACACAGATGTCGTTAGTTTCAGTTCCACAAGGGGTACCATCGGCAACCCTGTCCTTCAACTGGTAGAAGTTAGTGGTTCCAGCAACCCGACAGTAGAGTTTACAGCGATCTTTTATGGCAACTGTAAAAAAAAGTCAAAGTTTTGCCATACAATAATGCAACTGTTTGTTCCTAGGACTCAAAAAAGATTCACATCAAAAATATTCTAACTACTTACTCCCACTGTACTTTGGAAGCCATCTCACGTTAGGGGAAAGACCATTGATGTTGAAATGTTTACCATCAAAATCAGAGCACTGCTTCTCACGGAAGTCTTGCTTTCCTTTTGGACAGGAATCAGTATTACATGATCGAAATTTCATCCTGCGGCCCACACAGTACTTGCCTCCGTTTCTCGGCCTAGTCAAATTCATTACATTTTAAAGCACATCAGTACAATATTATTTTTGTCGTTTACCTCTAAAATTGTTCCATTCCTTTCCGTGATGTCCCACTAACACTTTGAATATAACACAAGTATGTAACATGGCTTTAAGCAATCCCATGGCTAATAACCTAAAAATACCCATCTTGGTGGATGCTGTGGCCTAGAGGAGAGAAATGATACCTTATTCATGATTTGATTAACTAACAAGGAACTATGATGAGAATTTCTTTTAAAATTTCAAAAAATGGTTCCTGCCCTAACCGGTTTGGCTCAGTGGATAGAGCATTGGCCTGTGGACTGAAGGGTCCCAGGTTCGATTCCGGTCAAGGGCATGTACCTTGGATGTGGGCACATACCCAGTAGGGAGTGTGCAGGAGGCAGCTGATCGATGTTTCTCTCTCATCGATGTTTCTAACTCTCTATCCCATTCTCCTTTCCTCTCTGTAAAAAAAATAATAAAATATATTTTTTAATTAAAAAAAAAATGGTTCATTTGCCCAGCCAGTGTGGTTCAGTGGTTGAGTTTCCACATAGGAACCAAGAGGCCACACTTTGATTCCTGGTTGGACACAATCCCCAGTGGGGGATGTGCAGGAGGCAGCCAATAGATGATTCTCTCTAATCATTGATCTTTCTATCACTCTCTCCCTCTCCCTTCCTCTCTAAAATCATTAACAATATATTTTTTAAATGGTTTGTTCATATTCTGGGTGGAGAATGAGCCAAACATGATTTTAAAAAAGATAATACCATGTTTTTAAAAAAAGGAATATACATGTGTGTTTGTCATAGATCTACTTATCACTTAGTTCAACAAGTTTCATGGTATCACTCTATACCCATCCAACTTATGCTAGAAAACAAAAACTCTTTTCTCAGCATTTTTAAATATGAAGACTTCTAGCATAATTTAGTTATTCTAAAATTCAAATGAATTCAGATTTTATTCAGAATATGTCATATTTCTGCATTAAAAAAATCCTTGGTAATAGATTTTAAGTGAAAAGTATCATATTGCTTACCAATTTACATATCACATAACAATAGAAAAATTATTTTAAAATCTTTATGGAATCTCTAAGTTCTTTTAAATAATGAGAGGAGATATGCTTCAGTACTTATTCAAGCTAAAGACATGAATGCATCTATAACATAATAGGTAAAGAAAGAAAAAATAGCTTGTCGAATTACACAAATGAGTAAAAAACTGGTAATGAAACTACGTGTCTTGTCCAGGACAGCCAAAACATAGTTAAAAGGGGAAAGTAGCTTTCAACAGAAACATTAAATGTAAAAAATGCCATTATATTACTGTCATTATTTATAACTATTTCTCAAATTCACACTAAATGAGAAAAAAAAGAAGGCTCTGTCTCAACTTAGATTCTAAAGGTTATTTTTATCTATCAGCTTTTTAAAGGTCTGAATCTACCAAGATATAAAATAATATGGCTTAAAGTGTCCCAGAAGTTTTCTGAATCTCAGAAACTTACAGACTGACCTCCAGTTTAGAAGTGAATGAAACTGCTGTTTAGTTTCTGGTGCCTTGAGATAATCTTAATTTACAGTGACATAAAAAGGACATACTCGGGGCGATTACAGAGCCTGGTTGTGCTTTTGATTCCACCTCCACATGTTCTTGAACAAGAACTGTAAGGTCCCCAGGGTCCCCATTCACCATCTACAGGACGTGTTTCCATTTCTTTGTTTACACACAGCCCATGGTGGCAATGCTATAAAAATAACACAGAGAAAAGTGATTCATGTAGATCTAGTGAGAACACTATAGTAACTATAAGAGCAGCAGCAGATCAATAGAAGAACAAAATGTATACAATTTAAAGCAACATGTTTATTCAGGTGTGATTACATTTAATGCCATGTTATTGAATATTTACTGAGTATCTATCAAGTAACTGTGAGATTGATGGAATGCAAAAAGAATAAAAAAGTTCCCCTTGCCTTTAAGATTTAGAGTCTCCTTAGGGTAGGGAAGACCTATACATATTGGAAAAACTTAGTAAAATAAAAAAAATAAAGCAAATATTAGATTAATATGGTATATATGCATGCTTTTTTTTAAATGCAGTTATCTATCCCTCACTCTTTGACCTAACTTTCCCCTCTATCTCCTCCAAAGCCTCAATGATCACTTGTTTTTTACTTTGATCAAGAAAATGGAAACTTGCAGGAAAATCTGTCAATCTCCCAGCAGCCCTTCTACCCACCCATCAGTGTCTGTGCCTATTTATATACATGAACAATCCAGGATCCGAGTCCAAATTAATCCCTCCATTTATCCACTTAATCTCAGCCCTTCTCACTACTCAGAACATGACTCAGCAATTGTCTCGTCTCCCCTATGTCATTGCTGTTCCAGTCTCTAGGACATGAAAGCTAATGCGGTTCATGTGCTGATGCTGCCGATGGATTAGTCACTATCAGCCTGTGAGAAGATGAGCACAGAAATTGTGAGGGAGCATTTAGAAACTTTTGTAAGAGTTTTACAGAGGAAGTTTATGTTTATTAAAGTTAATAATTTAAAAATAAGCTTATATTGGTTTTGTTTATAATTTAATGTTTATTTTTATTATTAAAATAAAATTTACTATTTTAACCATTTCAAGTGTACAGTTCAGTGGTATTAACTACATTCACATTGTTGTGCAATCATCCAAAATGAAATCTTTATCTTCCCTAACTGAAACTGTACACCCATTAAATAATAATTCCTCATTCTCCACTCCTCCCAGCCCCTGGCAACCACCGTTCTATGTTGTTTCTATGAATCTGACTACTCGGGATATCTCATAAATTGAAATCATACTGTGTTTATCTTTTTACGACTGGCTTAATTTCACATAGCATAATGTCTTCAAGATTCACACACATGGCATGTGCCAAAATGTACTTTTACAAAGGCTACATCTGGATGGTGGGAACACAGTGCAATACACAGATGATGTATCATACCACTGTACACTTGAAACCTATCTAATATTATTAACCAATGTCACCCCAATACATTTTTAAAAGGCTGAATTATATTTCAAGGTATGTAAATACTGTATATTGTTTATTCATCTGTTGATTGACAGTTGCGTTGTTTCACTTCTTGGCTACTGTAAATAATGCTGCTACAAACATGAGTGTGTAAATATCTCTTCAAGACCCTATTCTCAACTCTTTTGGATATATATCCAGCAGTGGTATTTGGGTCTCATAATAATTCCATTTTTAACCGTTTGACCGCTAAGGAGCGCTATCGCGCTCTTCTTATGTTACTCCAAAAATGCGAAGAGCGCCATAGCGCTCCTGTTTTTTTTTTTTTATGCCAAGACTGCGGAGAGCGTAATAATGCTGCTCCAAAACACTAGAATTTGTATAAAAAGTGTTTTACATTTTTTCCCATACACGCGCAATTAGTGCCGCAGTTTTGGCATATGTCCGAAAAAATACGTCAGCAGCCAAACGGTTAAATATTTTTAGAAACCACAATTTTTTTCCAGTAGGAAAACCTGGCTTACATTTTGGAGGTCTCTTTTTTTTTTTTCATTTTCCTAGTCAACCGTTTTTATCATTTTGTACAAAAAAATAATTTGAAAATGTTTTAAAGAAGACTGATCCTTTAATTGAGACAGTTTGAAAACACTCCACTAGAATATTCTCTTTAACATATAAACATACTCTTTTTCCTGCCACTTTAACAACAATAACCAAAAAAACAACTTTTCTTAGACCTCACTTCCCTAACCAGCTACTGTTCTGTTTATGCTCAGTGTCTCTCTCTCTCTGCCTATTTCCTCACAAACTCACCTTGGCCAAGCTTTATACCAACTTCCATGGCTCATGTGTAGGCCTTTCACAATGTGTAACCAATGGCTAGGTCCCAGTCTCCGGTTTCCTTGACTTAGCAGTATGTGAATAGTTAATTATGATTCCGGATACATTATTTTTCTGTTAGTTTCCAGAGCTCCACACTCTTGGTTTTCTTTCTTCTTTAATGATTACTTTTTCACAGTTTCTTTTACTATTTCTTTTTTCTCCAACCTCTTAACATTGGAATGTCCCCAGGTTTAGATCCTGGCCCTTTATTCTTCTCTATCAAAACAATCACTCCCAGTCCAGATCTCTCTCCTGATCTCCTGACTGTATACAACTGTTTCCTCCTCTTCACTTGAATGTCTAATAAACATATCAAATGTAGAAATCAAACTCCTGCCCTGCCCCCTCAAAATAGCTTGAGTTGATCTAAGTTGATCATATAGCAGACCCTTAATAAATCATTGCTGAATGAATGAATACTATAAGCAATTTTATTAGGAGAAAAAATACTTTGTATCCTTCATTAGAACAAATCATTCAATAGAAAAAAAGCCATATTAGGAGTGAACAAAAGCAAAATCTCAGTACAGACTGTACTATGTGCATGTACATTTTGTTGGCATCTTCCAGAAATAGTTCAATAGTCCCTGCATGCATTCTTGTGTATGCGTGTTTTATGGTGTGTGTGTGTGGGAGGGGGGGGGGAGATCACAGAATGAGAAAGATAAAATGTTCTACTAGACACCATGTAGTAAAATCAACTCACTGTCAGAGGGGTTCATCATCTATAATAATAAAAGTGTAATATGCTAATTAGATCAGATATCCTTCTGGACGTCCTTCCTGACAACCTTCCAAATGAAGCTGGGGCGGCGAGGGAAGCCCAGGTCCCGGGTGCCTGCCGGCGGCTGGAGTGAAGCCCGGGTCCTGGGTGTCAGAGGAAAAGCCGGTGCCGGCAGCAGGGGGAAGGAAAGCCTATTGTTGCGCGAATTTCATGCATCGGGCCTCTAGTGTTTTCATAAAAATGAATGTATTAACGGACCATCTCACATGTAAGACAGTCACAAGATAAATGGACTAAAGAAGAGTGTTAAGGCAACATTACAGGACATCTGTTTAAA